GACCAGTTAGGTCTCCTGACATAACTCAACCAATCTCGACCAAATCCGACCTAAGTGGATTGGTCAGGTTAAGACCAGTATCAGACCAGTTAGGTTATTTGACCTAACCCGACCTAACTTGACCAAACACGACCTAGGGGGACTGGTCATGTTCTGACCAGTTTGGTAATCTGACGTAACCCGACCTAACCTGACCTAACACGACCTAAAGGGACTGGTCATATTGCGACCAATTTGGTAATCTGACGTAACCCGACCTAATCTGACCTATTTTGACCTAATTGGACTGGTCGTGCGACGTCGCTGGTTTCTAGGGTAACTCTTTTCATACTAAATTCGACTTATTAGTCGGGAAATGATTGTTTCCCGGAAATTATAATTCGTTGTCAAATTATTTTATATTTAATTATTTCAGTCATAAAATTTGTTCAAGAATTCGTTTAATTTGCCCCTTTCTCACTGATTACTAAGTTAAATTAATGACACAAAAGTAGTTTTGTTAATTACTGCAGCCTGTATAGTCAGTATAATAGATTTTCATTATTTCTTCGCACAGAAATACTACCCAAGTTTTCAATCCATCCAACCAACCCATGGGAAAAAGGTGTAGGGAAAAAAGTCTGCCAAAATGAATAAAAAAATTTAAAATGCCAAAATTAAAAAATGTTGTCGAAAAAAATTCATGGTCGAAATAAAGTCATATTATCCAGGACATTTTTCAAAATAAATTCAACTCAAATACATTATTGTATGTAAGGGGACTCCCTTGAAATAAATTAGTAGGGTTTTATATCAGACTAGCCTTATTGGGCGCTTCGCGCCAATCTTCTAAATTAATTGTGAACATGTTCTCTTTGTGTACATCGTAAAACAAAATATATACTCTACAATGTGTCCATGGATATATACTGTACAATGTGTCCATGGATATATAATGTACAATGTGTCCCAGGATATATACTGTACAATGTGTCCCAGGATATATACTGTAAAATGTGTGCTAGGATATAAACTGTGCAATGTGTCCCAGGATATATACTGTACAATGAGTCCCAGGATATATACTGTACAATGTGTCCCAGGATATACACTGTACAATTTGTCCCAGGATATATTCTGTACAATGTGTGCTAGGATATATACTGTACAATGTGTCCCAGGATATATACTGTACAAGCTGTCCCAGGATATACACTGTACAATGTGTCCCAGGATATATTCTGTACAATGTGTGCTAGGATATATACTGTACAATGTGTCCTAGGATAAAAACTGTACAATGTGTCCCAGGATATAAAATGTACAATATGTCCCAGGATTATACACTGTACAATGCGTCCCAGGATATATTATGTACAATGTGTTCCAGAATATATACTGTACAATGTGTCCAAGGATATAAACTGTACAATGTGTTCTAGGATATATACTGTACAATGTGCCCGAGAACATATACTGTACAATGTGTCCTATTATACATGCTGTACATTATATCCCAGAATAAAAAATTGTACAATGTGTCCCAAAAAAAGACGGTACAATTTGTCCCACGATATAAATTGTACAATGTGTCCCAGGATATATTCTGTACAATGTGTCCCAGGATATATTCTGTACAATGTGTCCCAGGATATATTCTGTACAAAGTGTCCCGGAATATAAACTGTACAATGTACAATGTGTTGAATTTGTTCTGCAGGATACACTGTACAATGTGTCCCAGGATATAAACTGTACAATGTACAATGTGTTGAATGTGTTCTGCAGGATATACTGTACAATTTGTACTAAATCATCAATAAGGTGTAAATGAAAAATATAAAGATTCTCAATTTTTATTTCTACAAACATTCAATTTGTGCAAAAAATCTTAGGTAATCCAAAGTTTGATTAAGAACGGAATAAAATATGTATTACTTTTTTATTTGCAGTGACAGCTGATAAAAACATTTTTAAAACCCCCCCTATATTGAAACATTGATTCAAGATAAATATAGCAATATTGGAAACTAAAGCCGCAAATTTTAAACAAATTTCTTACTTTAGATAAAAAATCTCACCTTTTGGCGTCAGTTTCCGTAATTTTTTATTAAAATTTTCTTTTCAAATTTATTTCTGAAATCAGAGTGTTCCGTTNTATATACATTGAGACCCATACAACTGTGAAATGGGAAGACGATGTTTAAGAAATTTGGTGAGTTAAATTGATGCTGTTTTAAAGCAAATAGGTTTTCTACAGTTTAACACTAAACATCGAAAGAATTTCTAAAATGTCGTTTTCTGAACCTTCTAATAATGGAATATTGCAGATGTTTTTTAATTGAATAATTATATTAAGCTCTTAACTAATCCCGCATATTTCATGGATAATTTATTTATTTTTACGCTTACTGATATTCGGGTATAATTGTGCAAACCCCATTGAAAAATTGTGAAGACGAAGTTCATGGGTTAAACCTAGTTTAGTTGCTTGAAGCCTACACGCAAATCTGCCCCTTTAGTAAAAGTAAATTCAACCTATATGAAGCAAAAAGTCTAGCCGTGTCAACCTTGTTGCACCGGCTAGTCCTGTCCTTAGAGCTAGGTTCAGTACAAACTTGGACCGGATAGGTTGACCCGGCTCGGAAATTCAAATGTACTACGGCTGCCGGTGCCTATAATTTGTTAACTGAAATGGGTCTGTTTTTTTGCACAATTGGCGTATTTCATGTTCTTTGGACTACTTAAATTCATAACTGGAATCCAACATTCGTCTTCCTATTCCAGAGTTTAATGGGATTCTGTATAAAGTTTCCCAGAATATCTATCTATCAAGGATTGGAGAGGATAAGATTTGGCTCTAGGTTCAACTATCCTATGGGAGCAGGATTAGGTTTCAATCATTAGTACGGAGTACTGGCACCCATCCAGAGTAATATAGGATCCAGACAAAAAATATATAAAAATAGATAAAAATATATAAAAACAGATAAAAAATTGTAAAAAGATTTAAAAACAGACAAAATTATGAAAATTAGGAACAATATTACAATTTTGATAAATGAGTATTGATTAAGGAACATTACTAGATATGAACAATATCATAACTTAAGTCTAGTTTCTCACAAATTTCTAATTCTAAATTTATCGTTAACAATAACATTTATGAAATTGGGAACATTTTTTGCCTCGAAATCTCAGGGGGGGGGCGAACGTCCCCCCGCCCCCCCCTGTATCCGCCCCTGGTGAAATCTAAACTTTATTTAGTATAGCCAACTTATTGATATTAAATTGTAAAAAGACAATATAAAACTTGTCTTTAAAATATAAATTCTTTAAAAAATTGTCCTTTTACTTTAGATTATCAATTAAAATTATGCTTCTTGTTGGACTCCAAGCCGAAATCATGCGAGTCGAGTTTATAAAAAATGTACAGGTTTATCAATAAGGACCAGAAGGCGCCTGCCTGCTTTTTCGTCTATGCTCTCATATTTTTCAGGGGGGCCCCTTTTTCCAGGGAGGGGGACGTCCCCCTCTCCCCCTTATAATAGCCGCCTCCGGTTTCAGGGAGGTATAGGGTCCGTCCCAATATTCCNAATCCTGAGTATGCCCCTGCGAAACAACTTAAAGATTCAAACTCTTGAGTGTCGAATTTTAGTAAAATAGTTCAGAGTCAGACTCAGAGTTCAAATTGATAAATGATCAAATATCCCAATAATTTTTTTCCGAGAAAGAATAAAGACGGTATATATATCTTTTGACCTACGCAAATCCGCTATTCTTGCACTTCTTATGTACGCCAAATCCTCTATTGTACACATCCGACCTACAGGCACGTGGTTTTACAGCTGCTAGATGGACTTGTGGCCGCAGCGCCCAGCCCCTAGCCTGTCCTAGCCGCGGCGCTCGGCCCCCTAGCCTGTCATTGCCGCTCGGTCCCGTCCAGAAATTGTCTTAACCTAGCTGACCTAACCCTCAAATAATGCAAAAATAAACAGCTGGCGTAGGTCTGATATTGTAGTAGCCTGTAGGTCGGAAAGTTAGTAGGCCAGAATTCAGTAGGGGGGATGTTGCGTATTGACGATGTAACATTACCCAATCAATACTATTTATAGAAGACGACTGAAATACAACAAAACAAAATTAAACGCAGTAGTCTGCGCAATTTTAGCAGCCATGAAAACGATTTTGGCAACTTAATTAATGTCAATTTCATTGAATTTTTTGGGTGTTCGGTATAGAATTTTATCTTAATTTCAAAGATGAATAATTTTTTGAAGTGTTTACGTATCTAATTCAATTATGTGTTAATCCTTAATTTGGGTTATTTTTTCAGAATCAGATATTAAGTATTTTGTACCAAAAATTGTACGAAAGGAAATAACCGAATATTTTCCAGATCGATAGTTTGGAACTATGACGATCAATCCTGATCGCATAATTGCTGCTCGGCGGAAAATCGCTGACGAACCGTTTGATGTGGATAGTTGGCTTTTACTGCTCAAACATGCACAATGCCGAAGTATTGATGAAGCTAGGTAAGTTTAACCGATTATAATAAAACTAATAATGCAGATATACCCTTCGGTAATTTCCTAGAGAACGATGTTCGGACCCCCCCCCTCTTCCCCCCTCCTATCAATTTTGTACACTTTGTAGCGCCGGGCCTGCCTGTCCTAGCCGCGGCGCTCGGCCCCCTAGCACATCCTAGCTGCAGAGCTCGGCCCAGAAATTGTCTTAAAATGATAAAAAATAAATGTACAAAATTGATAGGGGGGGGGGGGGGNTTTTGTTCATGGATCTTGCAGAAAGTGTCTCAACTTAACCTAAACCGTGGTCGCAGCGCTCGGCCCCCTAGCCCATCCTAGCCGCAGCGCTCGGCCCAGAAAGTGTCTTAACCTAATCTAACACCATCTTATTTTTGAATATTTAAGTGTAAATGTCAGCTTTTTAGTGTAACATCATATTTTGATTCTATTAAGTATAATCAAGAAATTTGTTTTGTATCATAAAATATATTAAAGCAGATAAAAATAGAAAAAAATAGACAAAAAATGATAATAATATATAAAAATGTATAAAAAGGTATAAAGTATATAAAAATATTTAAAAACAGACAAAAATGTATGAAAATGTATAAAAAACTAATAAACTAGATAAAAATAGATAAAATTGTGTAAAAATAGATAAAAATAAAAATAAAATCAAAAAACGAACATTTTCTGTTTTCCTGACAATTTTATTAAAAATAATCCTGCTGCACTGTGTGAAATCAATGTTACCGCAGCGTCCGGCCCCCTAGCCAGTCCTTGCCGCGGCGCTCGGCCCAAAAATTGTCTTAACCTAACCCTAATAATAAAAAATGGATATAGTAATTTTAGAAAAACGAGTTGTCATGTACAAAATTGGTAGGAGGGGTGGGGGTTCCAAAAATTGTTCTTTAGGACAGACCCCACATGCGAACAAACAGACAATGCATATGAATTTATTATAAAATTGGGCATCGGTTTGAATTGTTAAAAAAAATCGATGAATTAGTTAATTCGAAAAAAATATTCTTACGTTTGATTCAACTTAACTTTATCAGGGAGACCTACGAGGAAATCATAAGTACCTTTCCCTCCAACGGACGATTCTGGAAAGCGTATATAGAGCATGAAATGCGTATGGGGAACTACGAAAAAACAGAAAAGTTATTTCAGCGTTGCCTTATTAAGGTGAGAAAAACATTTTAAACGTTCTTTTTGTTGACATTTTAAATTTTATTAATTTTTGGCTTTGGTCTTAATATTTTTATTCCTAGGTTTTATCGATAGAACTGTGGAAAACATATCTGCAATATGTCAAGGAAAGTTTTGAATATTTTAAAAATTTAAGTTAAAGGTGTGGGAGGGGGGGGGGGGCATTCTTGAAAATTAACACCCAAAACCTGAAAATAACTATCATTGTTTTTTTCCAACATTTCTTGTTATTTTAAACACGTTTTCCCTAAATGTATATTTGTACTCCATAATTTTTGTTTGTTGGATGAGATTTGTTAAAAGAAAATTATACACACCCCTGTCGACTGAGTAATATGTAAAACTGCTCGGTGACGTAGGATACTAAATCCTCTCTACCGTCTTTCAAGGAGAAGATGGCCCAGGCTTACGACTTCGCGCTTGACAAGATGGGGTTGGACATTCAGTCCAACGGACTCTGGAATGACTATATTAACTTTTTAAAGGTTTGTAAATAATAATTTCCACTTTTTTGTTTCATTATTTATTCTTTATTGGAATAGACGAAAATGTATCTGCAATACAGAATGCATCTAATTTTTATGAAAAAAATAGATACAGATCAAGCCCATGAATAGTTTTGGTAAATTTTCTACTTTTTTCTAATTTTCATGTAGCAATATTGAACTTGTTTGATCCGAATCTGTGAATCCTAATATTTTTGCGGATCTGGATCCAAGTAGCGAAAATATGGCGTATCCAGTGTATCTTAACTCCTAAGTACTGTTGTTGTATATTGTAACCTCCTTAGAAAAAAATGTCTGTGGAAGGGTAAAAATTACCTGATATAAAAAGCAGTTACCGCCATTTTATTGTTGATATTTAAAAAATGAAAATGATATATTGCAGGGAGTTGAAGCTGTTGGATCCTACGCTGAAAACCAGAAGATTGCTGCGATCAGAAAAGTTTATCAGCGTGCAGTCATAACACCAATCATAAACATTGAGCTCATGTGGAAGGTTAGTTCATAATAATATGAAAAGAACTCTCATTCCAAAATAATACAAAATAAGAATATATCAGGTTTTTCAATGATTGTTCGTTTAAGGAATACACAACGTTTGAACAGAATGTAAATCCAATGATCGCCGAACGATTAACAACTGAGCGATCGCGTGATTATATGAACGCGAGGAGAGTTGCTAAGGAGTATGAAGCGATTACGCGAGGTTTAAACAAAGTTGCTCCATCAGTGCCACCAACAGGTAATCAAAATGATATTTTATCGAAAATTTATTTTTCTTTTGAACATCATATAAGTGATGTATGCTTGCGTGAAGTGACAACATTTGATTTATGTTTTTATTCGCTGAATTGTGGTAAAATCATTGATTTTTAGAGGAAAATCAACGAATTTTTGGGTAAAATGTATGGAAAAGATCGAAAAAATTTGCAATTGATGTAAAATTTTTCATCCCTGCCCCTCCCCCCCCCCTTCATCCAAAATCATACCACCAACCCCAGGGGGTGGGGGTAATTATTATTATTTGTTATTTTGAAAAACTGCTCAGGATCCACTTTTGTTTCATGAGGATCCGGATCCAGATCCTGGATCCGCCCTGATAAAAATGGATCCGGATCCAAGTCAGATATTTGGTTTGGGAGCAAACGTTTTTTTTTATATTTTCCATCTTGGGTTCGGATCCGGGGATTTGCATATGTTTACTGATCCGGATGAATTAACTAAATATATATTTGTCTAGGCTCAAGTGAGGAACTGAAGCAGATTGATCTATGGAATAATTACATTAATTGGGAAAAGTCGAATCCTCTAAAGGTAAGTTTTTAAAACGTTTAATTACTTTAAAACATCGATTTGTTACTTTTAATAAATTAATGTTGCTAGTCATGAGCTTTTTTGTTAAATATAGCTTTCGTGCCACCATTTTCTCTTTGTGCGGTCTAAAATAGAAAATTCAAAGATTTGGACGTTTTCATCGGCTGATTTCCTAAGTTTTTGAAAATGCAAATTAGTTGGAGGTTAAAAATTAAGTTGATTTTGATTTTGGTCGCGACTTGTTCAGCCGTTTTGGCGTTTATACTTAATTGGATCACAAACCAACAATATCTCAACCCAAATATATATATTATATTTTTATAATGTAACCATGATAAATATTGTAATTACTGCTGTTGTTGTAGATTGAGGATCCTGGTTTAGTTGGGCGTAGAACTATGTTTGCGTATGAACAAAGTTTGTTGTGTTTGGGTCATCATCCTGATATTTGGTTCGAGGCTGCTCTTTACCTTCAAGAAACTGCTAAAGTACTCCAGGTATACATACAGGGGTATATGCTCTTTACATTCAAGATACTGCCTTAAATACTCCAGGTTTAAATACGGGGGTATGTGCTCTTTACCTTCAAGATACTACTAAAGTACTCCAGGTATATATACAAGGGTTTATGCTTTCTACCTTCAAGATATTGCTAAAGTACTACAGGTATACTTATAGGTGCATATTCTCTTTACCATCAAGATACTGTTAAAGTACTCCAGGTATACTTAGGGGTTTATGCTCTTTACCTTCCAAGATATTATTTAAGTACTCCAGGTATACTTACAGGGGTATATGCTCTTTACCTTCAATATATTGTTATAGTACTCCTGGTATACTTACAGGGGTATATGCTCTTTACCTTCAAGATATTGCACAAGTACTACAGTTATACTTACAGCGTATATGAATTTAATTATAGAATGAATATGAATGAGAAGCAATGAAACTTTTAACTTTGAAACTGATTGTTTTTTTTTATTGTGGTATCTCTACAAAAGTGACTTGCTCATATCTTCTGTAGGAAAACTATAAGAATCATCAGAATTAAAAAAGACAATTTATCTTACACATAATTGATCGGATAAAAGTTTCAAGGGTACCGTTGTTAATTTGAATTTGCCATCTTTGCATGGATGGTCACTTGAAATCACCAAATTTCAATATTTTTTTTCTACGCTGCGAAAATTATCTTTTTGCAAAAATAATTTGAAAGTGATCAAAGATAAAATCTTGTAATAAAACAGATATTTAAAAATTGATCTTTTATGGTAGTAGAATTTAATAATAAATATTATAAAATTATTAATTAATTAGGAGAAGGGAGATGTAGAAACTGCCAAATCCTTCATAGAGCAAGCAAGTCAGCTGTATGAAAGAGGAATATCCGGAGTACTTAGGCATATATTCAATCAATCAATCAAAAATATGTCTATTTTCATTCAATCAACAATATATATATATATGTTTAATTAATCGATCTTTCGATAAATCAAATAAGAAACTAATCGATAAACAAGTACTTAAAGGAGTGGCCAGCTAGACCTATTGGTTAAGCTCAGAGATTGTTGAATTCGTCTACACTTAAAGATTTATATTCATCGCACTGTAAACTTTAATGAATGTCTAATGTTAAGTTAAAGAGTTATAATTTTGAATATTAATATTCAGTACGTGTATGCTTCTGTATTTTTCCTATGCAGACTTTGAGGAACAAAACATGAAATTTGAAAAGGTATTGTAAAGATGATGTAAAATGATGTTATACTTAAAATCTGGTTTTGATTATTATTAAAACTTCATAGAGTAAAAAAGTAGGGAATGATTCCACATTTTTGAAAATATATTTCGGTCTGGGTTGACCCTCTTCAGTACTTGAGATTTCTTTCTGTCATGAAGATTCAAACTGTTATATTTTCCTGATATTTGAAAAATTATATCCTAGCTATAGCCATTAGTCATTGTAAACACTATTATTTTTTACGGTATTCTGCGGTTTTGTTTTGTTTTATGAGTTGTGAAATAAATTATTTCCTTCCTTCTCACTAAATGATTTTTCTTTCCCCATTTGTGAGAGAAATATTTTAAGATCTTAAAAAAATGAATTTTTGAGATAAACTTGGGAAAAAGAGGGGAAAATTGTCAGTCGAATCGGATGGGGTGGGGGATGGGTGGATGGTCTTAATTTTTATTTATTTAACCCTTCTGTTATGTTAAGGTGCATACGATCTACCAGAAGTTTCTAGATATTCCCGAGGTTGACCCAACTCTGGCCTATGTACAGTACATCAAATTTTGCCGGCGAGCAGAAGGAATAAAATCTGCCAGGTTTGAAAAAATATATTTTGCGGATTTGTAACCATTTTTTTGATTATGCCACTTTTCCCTAGTTTTATTAGGAACTTTTCTGAAAGGAGGAGTTGTTTTATGTCTATTCTTTAAGAATTGTTCAATAACTTATATATCTAAAAGGGTGTATATTTTCTTATAAAATCACTCTTTCAAAATGATTTGTTTTTCCTTAGAAGTTATGTTACATATATATGTACAAACTATTTTTTAGGGTTTTCGTCGCTGAATTGAAAAAAATGATGGGGGGGGGGCATTAGATAAATTTTTGCGGTAAAAAGTCAAAGTATGAAAAAAACTTGCCTTTTGATAATTCTTAAAATTATAAAACCGTTATTTTTATTTTATTTTTTTAGAATTGTTTTCAAACGAGCACGTGAAGATACCAGATCTAACTTTCATGTTTATGTTTGCGCAGCTCTCATGGAATATTACTGCTCAAAGGTGGAGTAGAAGTTTCAATAATTTTTTGAGTGAAAATTTAATAAATCGCAAAACATATTTAATCCAGTGCTTAGGATCAGGATTCGTTGGATCCGCAACATTTTAGCTTACCGGATCTGAATCGAAGTGACAAAATGTCAACCCTAAAACTAAAAAAAAAACTTTTTGCTCTCAAAGCCTAAATCTGAAAATTTTAATAAATTTTAAAAAAATCCGTATCTGTTCACGAAAGAAAATGTTGATTGATTAATTGTTGTATATATGTATTTTTGTTATGATCTAAAAGAAATTATATTGGTTTACTTCAGTAAAAGATGATTTTTCAATTGATGTGTTATTGTTTGTTGGATAATTATTTAATTTCCTTTTATATTTACAGGATAAGAGTGTGGCGTTTAAAATATTTGAGCTTGGATTGAAAAAGTTCAGCGGCAGTGCTGAATTCATTCTGGCATATCTTGGTATTTACTAAACATCGGGAAAAATTAAACCAAGGGTGTATGTTTTCTCAAAAAAATATTTTACTTCCCCCCCCCCNTATGTGCTTAACCCCAAATCATCAAAAATCAATTCTGAAAATATACACCCCTGAATTTAAGTGGGGATGATGAAATATCAAATTGGATCGATTTACCAAAGAATGATAAATTGGGCTGGCCATATTTTTGTCCCCTTTAGTAACTTTGTTCAAAAATTCATTAACTTTCTCCAATTCACCGTTACAAACCCTAACAAAATATTTGGGTAAAATAGTTTTTTTTAATGAAGTGGATTGAAGATTTTTCTTCAAAACATTTACCTTTATAGTCAATTCGGGGTTTATATTATCTTGAAAAATCATCCCCCCTCATTGAAAATATGTTTTTTGAACTATCAGATGTTAAATTTTAAATTTTTAAACGTTATATTTGCTGAATTGGGAAAAGTAAAATATTTTAAAAGAAAGATATTTGAATTTTCGGGTCTAATTATCAAAGGGGTTTAAGAAATGTCCATTTTCCAGATAATAGAAGCACATATTAACCCCACTCATATATTAATTGATGGATTGACAAGTAGAACACACAGGAATTGAAGATGGTTATTGATTATCCCTAATGGTGAAATAGATGCTGCCAATTCCAAAGTTATTAAAACAGCAAAACTTTCCACAGTTAAAAAGTTGATAATGAATTAGTTGAGTGACAGAGGGAGAGGTTGCAGAGCTGCCATGAGCCCCGCGAAATTGCCTCTGTAGCCTCATGGTTCGCGGAATAACCTTCCCGTAAGACTATCTCCGTGCTTCTCCGAGCCCTTGCCATTCTGTCTCAACGTCCAGTATTCTGATATCCAATAAAAAATATTTGGCTTTTACCTCCGCCAAACCACTTTTTTTATATAAATTAATGGGGGGCTCATGGAAGCTCTGCACCTAAGTGACATAATCTTGGTTTCATTAAGTTTATTTATATTCTAGATTATCTCTCACATCTAAATGAAGACAATAATACCCGAGTTCTGTTTGAGAGAGTTTTGACTGGAAACACAATAAACGCAGAGGTAGGTTGCTCTCATTGCTTTTTCTGCTCGTGTTTTAAATATTAAATCAAACCAGACTTTCAGGAACGTTCTACTGTAACTATCCAATCTCGAAGTAAAGATTTAACACTAAAACTATAAAACGGTTTACGCTAGAACGTTCAAACTTCTTCAATTTTTTAACCTCTTATAGTCGGTGAACAAATTAATTTAATGCGTAGGGGCGGGTAAAGTAAAGTAAAAGTAGCATTAAATGTATATTTATCTTATAAAAAGAAGGCCAGGGCTGAAAAACCAGGAATGGGGAGGACTTTGAAACTCCGATCCACTACTGGAGCCTTAGGCCATCCCTGCAACTTATGATTTGATTTGATTTGAAAGTCTTTATTTGCCAAAAGTAAAAAAATATTATTTTTACATTTATCCGACGTACTTTTTTATCGTTTTTTTAAAACTTACCTTGCATCCTAACCATTAAAGTTGGAGTTATAGTTTTTAAACGAAAAGGTCTATCTCAACTCTAAGTCTAGGGACATTATAATCATGGGGAGTGTGTGTGAAAACATCTTACCCCAATCTATATTAAACAAAAATAGTTTTATATTTGTCAGTTAAGGAACCAGATCAATTTTTTATGTATTAACATATTCATTGTACACTGTACAGCTTCATTATTATCAACCAAACCCTTTAAAAAAAGTAAATGGTTGTTAAAACAACAAGTCATAAAAATGAGAAAAAGAAAAAACAAAATAATTAAATATTTAAAACTTTCAAGAATTTTTATTTCAGGAGTCCGTGGATATTTGGAACAAATTTCTTGACTTTGAATCAAACATAGGAGACCTTGCCAGTGTTATAAAGGTAAATTAATATTTTTAGAGGTTTTGAAAAATTGTTTCTTATAACGCATTAAATTAAAATATGTGATTTATTTATCGGTGAATATTATCAAATAGATCAATAAAAAGGGGTAATAATTTACTGTTGTATCATCTTTCCGGTAACATCTGATCTAATAAGGGTTCAGTTGCGTCCTTAGTGACGATTCAGAACCATAGTTTCATCGACGGTAACATCTATCTATCTCATCATCCAATTAGAGATGAATCATGAAACAGTAAACGGAAATGTTTACTTCTACTGAAACAAGGACGAAGTCCAATTTTCTTTTTTTAAAAGAGATGTTTTTGTTCCCAGGGCATAATCGGGTTGTTACGATTGGATCTCGGAATTTTTCTATTGCGAAAGTTCAGTGTTGTAGGGGTTTTTGTATTCATCTGCCAGGGGTTGTAATCTGGCAACACATTCATCCGTCCACTCTTCATTTATTCTGGGAAGAGGGCTGACAAGATTCCAGCTGGCTAAGGGCTTCTTAGAGCTGAGAATATATAGTGCATGAATTCTTCTGATATACTGGAATAAGGCCCAGGTGCCTTACAGGTAGCAAGCATCACACTCATTGGTCCCAATCATTTGTAAGCCCGGATTTGATACCCCCAGGGCCAGGTACCTATAGCTGGCAACCATAGACTCTCCCTGCTTGTCAAACCTTTCCTCTCTTCATCATGATTCATTTGGATCAATTCATTTCAAGCTTCTTTCTTGTTGAGTAGAAAGCGCGCACCCTTTCGCTGCGAGAGATATTGACAGCCGCCCCTCTGTTCTACATTCGTCAGGTGGTCATCTTAACCAGATGTTGGGTTTAAATGATTTTGAAAACACAGGTTTGTGAGGAGCGCGGGAATCAAATTCGTGAACAACAGTCTGGATACCAATCCAGTTACTGGCTGTGGACAAGTGTGTTTAACTTCAGTGAGCTAACAAGAACTGGTGTCACACACTCCCAACCCCATCAAATTTTCAATTACCCCCGAATCTCGAAAAAATAATTCTTATTACGAAAAACATATTTTCTTTATTTATTAATGTTTGATTTTATGTCAGGTAGAGAAGAGGCGCGCTGCTGCACTTGTTGAGGTCGGGTTGACCGGGGGGGAGGACAAGCATACCTGCCAGGTCATAGATAGATACAGGTAAGCAAGTTTAGTTTTAGGATTGGCATTCCAGATTTACATTATCACGCTCTGAACTTCTATCTAATTAACAATTACAAAGAAATATTCGTTTTTTCAAATCTTGAAAAGAGATCGATTCAGTCAATTTTCTTCCTTGTCTCTTCTGCAGAAAATTTGCAACTCACTTTTGTAGAAAACCCGAAAATTAAAATTATTAGTTGATGTGTAAAAAAAACAAGGATTGGTCCGTTACAGTCCCTTTAAATTAGTTCAAAGTATTGAAAATTGTATTTAGAGAAATATTCAAGGGGGTTAAGAATGCGATTCAGTGATGTCCCTACTCCCTGTATTTTAGTTCAATTAAAAGCTTCTTACAAAATAACTTGTTAGTTTCATTTCGTTATTTTCAACCTTGAGAGAGTTGTTTTAATTTTATTTTATTTAGATTCATGACGTTGCTTCCTTTATCTGACGCAGAGCTGAGATCAATCGGTTATCATGTAAGCTATTTTATAAAAATATATCAAGCTTTTGGTTGAATCCATTGCTAAAAATTCAATAAGGATATTATTAACATGAGCTTAATTGATCGTTAAAAACCATGGGGTTTCTTTTTTTAAAAATCAGCTGAAATTCATAAAAAATTATAAAAATATTTCGAATTTTGAAGAAGAAAATAAATCCGCCAATTTGGATCAGCCGTTTGGCCAGCTATGGCTAATATAGTAACATATATTTATATATAAATTCTTAACGTAAGTCTTGAACATGTTCTTTTTGTTATATTAAGATTGGTATATAGATATATAAGTATATATATTTTTATTAATGGCATTATTGTATAGAAGATTAATAATCATAAACCAGTACACTTTAAAAATAAATTTCTTCTCCAGGACTCCTACAAGCATACAACCGGAAACCCTCTCCTCTCACACCAACCTAAGCGTGGGGGTGGAAAGATGAACGGCGCGCTACTCGTCGATCCAGACAATGTGGCGCGCCCTGACTTTTCTCAGATGGTGCCGTTCAAACCAAAGGTGTGTAGTACAGAGTAACTATTTACCCCTGCAAAATTTGTCTCTTCCCCCTCAGAAAAGTGTTTGCACCCGTTACTAGAATTATTATAAAAATAGTTTCAAAGTCTACAGATAAGTCTTACCTACAAATTCCTACAGATGGCAGTCTATAAAAAAGAAGCGGTTGTATTGTATACAATAAACTGAAATTGTGTTGTTTTTATCTTCAAGCTAACACATATCCAATATTCAAAATTTTCTATTTTTGGGGATGAGAAAGAGGAGTGGTGGGGCCGAGATGTAAAATAGAATATGAACGTTAAGAACATTTGTTCAGGTGAACTGGAGGCCTGGTGAGTTTATGGTTCCAGGAGGAGCATTTCCCCTTCCTCCTTCGGCAGCAGAGCTCTGTACAATCCTACCCCCGCCAACATCATTCAAAGGAAAATTAACATTCATTCTAATGTTTTCAATTCATTTTATTGAAATAATTATTCTCTAAGATTTTAAAAAGTGATTTAAACTTTGTTGTTCTGTTCCTGAATTTTTAAATTTTATGAATTTTTTTTTTACTTTTTGAATGCTGTATAACTGAATGAATATTCTGATTTAGGTCCCTATGTGAACGTTGATAAACTATGCGATATATTTGATAAAATCCGATTACCTGATTCCCCGGCCTCGGCAGGAACTGAACCAAACAGTATTAAACTATTTGATCTCGCTAAATCAGTGCAATGGATCGTCGGGGCCGACGATAGCCGTAAACGGAAATCAATCGGTCGTAAGGGGGACGATTCGGACGATGACTCAAATATATCAGCGCCGACGAACGATCTTTATCGGAAACGGCAACAGAAGAAGATAAAGTGAGGGGAGTGAATGATAAAATGTATTTATACCAGCCACTGTTCATCTAAGAACAAAAGATGTATCCTGTTTACTTTAAATACACTGCCATGCTCATTTATGTCGCAAAACTTCTAACAAATTGAACATACATAATACAATTAAGTACAGCTCAAGCTGTGGACCTGTGGACTTGTATTTTACAAACAAAATTCACACAGTTTTGTTTTGTTGTCACACTGAACAGTGCACATGTTGAATCAAACAATTAGAGCCCTGTATATCGTACTAGCCTTAATTGTTTGTTGTACAAACTAATAATTTACTGTATGTAATGTAGCAGGATTGATGTATTTATTGCTCTAAAATTTTTTCATCAAAGATATCAAAATTCCAGGCCTTTACGGAACTTCATTTTGTCACTTTAAACCAGGGGTGTATATTTGCTGAAAAAATACTCCCTCCCCCCACCTATGGAAATAATTGTTGTGTAAAAAGTATCAAAAAGGATGAAAAAACTTTTTTTTTGATGTTTAATTTTTCATTTTTCTCCAGATCCTGAAATTATACACTTCCTACGTTAAGCTCTACTCGATAAAAAAAAATCACCTAAAATGAAACAACACTAAAGCATTTACCTTCTCTCCCTTTTATCCTCATCGAAAAGTCAAAATTGATTATCCTTTAATCTAACCTATTTTGTAAGATATCAAGTTGTTCGAACCAATTGTTATTTTGTGCATTTGTATTTTCAGAGATTAGACGAATAGATAGATAGATGATATATAGTTAGATAGTTAGAAGGGAGCTAGGTGAACTCCGCTATGGGTATCTTGACGGATCCCAACAATAGACAGAGGACTGCCCTCGGGAATATTATTATTAAACATTACAACAAGATATCCTGGCTTTCATACTTTCTAGGTAAAATTCCATAATTCATGTCAGTACAACTTAATATAATGAGTTGGAGAGGTTGCTGAGCTACCTGCAGCCGATTCTAAGTGTATATAACCTATTCAAATCCTAGTGAATATTTAACTTTAAATCAGTGTTCTAGATTAGAACCAGCTTTAGGTAGTTCAGCGACCTAGCTAAAATTGGTTAAATTCGGTCCATCAAGCCTTTGTTTTTCGTGTCTTCTCTTTTTTATCTTGTTTTTACCCTTCTTATTTTTGTTTAACGTTTTTCCTACCAAACCTAAGTTTACTTGCTATTCATCCCTTTTATTATCATTTATTTTGTTAAATCTTGTAATCTGAAATTTTTCCCCTATAGATTACATTTTACTGTGGTACCTCATTTCTTTATATGTATAAAAATGTTCCCTACAATTCAAATATTGTGTTTTTTTTTTGACTTTATAAATTTCCGGTCAAAAATTTCTTGTCTGTGTGAGATAATAATGTTTTTTTTTATAACTATGAAATGTTAAGGTTTGATATTTCTATTTGTTCTCCCACACCCTCTCTACAATCATAAGACATACTTCTCTGAAAACGCTTTACTACCTGGTCTAGTCACTGGAGAGTTCAACGAGCAAAAAGCAGCGCAGAGGTCATTATTTTTTTTATAGTGGGAGAAAGGGCTTGTGTTTGATGGATGTTTATTTGGGTTAACGAGAGCTTTACCCTAATTTTAAAGGAATGATGGTTAATCATTTAATTATTATTTATCAATTAATTTATCTTTCATTTATCATACTATAAAATGGTTGATTGATTTTTCATGGTTTGAAGAATTTAGATAAATGATTGATTTGATTGATCAATCAATCGATTGAATTGTCTATGTTAAAGGTACTATGATGACTTGAAGGAAGAGAATGCTCGTTATCCCGGTGAAGCTCCATTTCCTTGGCTTGAAGCACAGTTCAAACAATTGGGGCTTGATGTTTACAGGAAAATATCAGCAATTTTCTAATTTAGTGTTTTTAATTTTTATGTATTCATCATACTTGGCCTGTTACTTAGCAATTCATGTTATTCAAGAAAGTTCTGGAAAATGTATAGTTTCTGTGTCTAAAAAGTCAAGTGCGATCACGCAAACTGATATTTGTTGACGATTGTTGACTATTTATTTAATCTGTTTATTTATTCTTCATTGTTGATATTTTCCAGACAAACATTTAGTTTGGATTATCCATTAGCAAACAGCTCTTTCACTGGTAGTAATGTCTACGCTATACTAAGAGCACCAAAGGTAACAAATATTAAAAACTAACAGAACATTAATTCTTAGCGATATATATTTTTGTTTAACAAGCTTCACCAAACAGTGGTGAACATTTCTTGAAAAATCATTTCCCACTCCCTTTGGAAAATATTTTTTTTCTCCCAGAAGTTAGGTAAAATTATTTAGGGTTTAATTTGGGGAAAAACTAATTTTTGCGTCAAAAATATGGAAAAAGATGAAAAGTTTGCCTTTTGATGTCCAATTTTTCATACACCCCTGTCACCGAGTTTGGGGTAAAAATGTGTGTTTGTATTTACCCCCACCTTAATATTAAAAGGAATTGAGTCTCTGTCATAAACTCTGTTTTAATAATCAATATATCTTTGCAACCCAATATTGTAGATCTTCGATATTTCAATCAGTAAATTATGTTAGATCTAAAAACCTATGTCAACGACAATCCTTTGCTATGATAATTTTATTGCTAGGCGGCCAGTACGGAGGCCCTTGTTCTATCTGCACCTCACAGACCCCCCAACTCCCCACATCAGGTTAATATTAACTATGCTATATTTTGTATTGTCTTGTTCTATCTGTACTGCACAGACCTTCCAACTCCCCACATCAGGTTGATATGAACTCTATTATATTGTGTATTGTCTTGTTCTATCTGTACGGCACAGACATCCCAACTCCCCACATTAGGTTAATATGAACTCTATTATATTGTGTATTGCCTTGTCCTATCTGTACTGCACAGACCTCCCAACTCCCCACATCAGGTTAATTCGAACTATATTATATTGTGTGTTGCCTTGTTCTATCTGTACTGCACAGACCTCCCAACTCCCCACATCAGGTTAATATGAACTCTATTATATTGTGTATTGTCTTGTTCTATCTGTACTGCATAGACCACCCAACTCCCCACATCAGGTTAATTCGAACTATATTATATTGTGTGTTGCCTTGTTCTATCTGTACTACACAGACCCTCCCCACATCAGGTTAATATGAACTCTATTATATTGTGTATTGTCTTGTTCTATCTGTACTGCATAGACCACCCAACTCCCCACATCAGGTTAATTCGAACTATATTATATTGTGTGTTGCCTTGTTCTATCTGTACTACACAGACCTCCCAACTCCCCACATAAGGTTAATATGAACTCTAATATATTATGTATTGTCTTGTTCTTTCTTTACCAACACAGCATTTTAATTTTTTCATAATAAATTTTAATTAAATTTTACAATATTTTACAATAATTTTAAATATTTATATGATATCATATGAAAATATTTTGAGATTTGAATATTTCTGGTTTTTTATTTTCTTCTTGGTACATCTTTCCATCATATTTTATTTTGAAAATAAAAAGAAAAGATATTCTTTTTCTCTGGAGGGGGGAGGGGACATCTTCCAAGCCCCCATCCCTAATATCAAGAGATTTCCCTTCCAATTTTTCCTGTTCAATTTTCTTTTTTCTTCTTGCTTTTTGTTTCTTGTTTCTACACTTTGAGGTCTTCTTTCAAAATAGCTCTTTTGACATTGAGTTGTGGAGCAGGTAGGAGAGAGATAAGGAGGTTTGTAGGAGGAAGGGTAAAGGGGATTGCTTCTTGTGTTTCTTCTATTATACTCATTCTGAGTTAAGGGGTATTATGGAAACCAATAACTGCACCACTAATGCAAAATGGGGAGTTGTAAGCCCTAAAACCACATTGAGAGAAATCTTCCACCACAGTCCAGTCCTCACAGCTGGTTGAGTAAAAAACTGGTATCGTTATGCATGGCTTGTATACCCATCAGGGATTAGACTCCTTTTTCAGTTGCACCAGGCTGAAGATGAAGTCTTGTTTTATTCTGTACCAACACTTCATACAAATTACAAACCACCGTGCTCAATGCTCATTGTAAAAAAAATAAACTAAGTATTGTGAAATGTCTTGATATATATTAGTAATCCAAAGATCGGATGTTTTCTGGGGATATTGTCAAACCAATGTGGGCACTTGTGAATTTGAGAGTCGATGCTAAATCCATCAATTAAAGTTGTCCCTTGACCATCAATGGATAACAAAGTTAAGAATAATTATTTATAATTAATTGTGTGGAACTGGAAGGTTAATAAGTTTGATTCTTTGTTGAATCTTTTGACTTGCTATTAATTTAAATTTGTCATGATTAGATAAAAGTAGTTTTTCAGAGTACTGATGGTGGAATTGCTGCTCTGTTAGCGGTTGCCAAGTTCTTCAGAACCCAGATCTACTGGGCCAAGGACATCATATTTCTCGTCACTGAGCATGAGTTTCTTGGAGTTCAGGTAAAAATTTCAGTGTAGGTTGACCAGTGACAAGTAGAAGCATTCTATTTGGTATGAATTTTAATTCAGTCCTGATAAAGATAAAAGATCTGACATTTAATGTAAGTTACCTTAATAAATGGAAACAAAGAAAAGAATCAAGGAGTGTAAAAGCTAAAACGCCTCATGGATGAATGATTTAGGAAAATATAAAATTTCTGCACTTTAAAGACCTAAAGTTTGAAGAATACCTCAATTCTGCACTTAACGTAGACTTGAATATATAAACCATAAAGTAGGGTATCAACTATGCCCAGAAGATATTATTATGAAAGCAAGGTGATGGAACTAGTAAGATATTGAATCGATAGAAGACATGAAAGTTCTTACTTTTGATATCTCTGTTAGGCTAGAAGACTACTTTAGAGTAGACATCTGAGCTGGCGATTACAATTTTTTAAGAAAATGCGACTCAGATCTAAGCTGTGGATGGGCCTTATTTACAGCTTGAGTTTTTGTATTTAAGTTGCATCTAATTTTCAACAGAATTGAGTTTCTATAAACCGGTTTAATATTGTATTTGGAGGATTTTCATGGTTTGAATTGGCGCATGCCGGGTTCTGATGAAAAAAAGACTAACATTGACACTTATTCTCCACTAACACCAACCAAGATTGGTATTATTTTCATAGGGGCTAACTTCTTAAGTCGAGTCTGATATCTTGAAGCTGTCAATCACGTGACATAAGTTGTCGTCAGAGTTGGGTCTTAGATTGTGTTTTAAAGCAGGGTTTAAGGAATTGCAACCCGAGCTGAAGCTTTTTAATCACGTCCTCTGTATGCGTGATGAAGTACAAGGCTACAAGTAAGGGTTTATACTTGTCTCACTTCGGACTTGTTGGCTTAGCTTGAATGCCTCTATGGATGGTGATTTGGGTTGGCAGTATAAAGGCGAGTATTTTGACTAATGCTACAATGAAATACAGTATTGTAAATACTGAAAATGATAACATTAAAAATAAAATTTGATGTTCTTAATTATAAATCAGAAATATAGACTGGAACCTTGGCTGGAAGGCTACCATGGAGTAGGGTTAAACCTTATCGAGAGACAAGATTATTTTACGAATAATATTTTATTAAGATAAGGACTTTTTTGCTGGCTTGTTGATTTTCACTAAAATTTCTTTCTGCCATGGAGTTATCAGTAAGATGTTTTACTTTTCTAACTTAATAATTATAGACTTGGCTAGAAGGTTACCATGGATTAGCTAGGTTATAGTGTGAGGTCAGTATGGCTAGTTTTATTTAATTTGCAGTGCAGAGGAATAGCGGTAATGCTACAATGTAGTAGTATATGGTGAAGATGTATTATAATGCTGTCTTACTTTCTGAAATTGAACTAACTTTAGGCTTGGCTGGAAGGCTACCATGGAGTAGGATATGGGGATGGGAGTATTAAAGCCGGTGAATTACCAGGCAGAGCAGGATCTATTCAGGCAGCAGTCAACTTGGAGATAGATTCACCTGACTTTACCCATATCAATGTCAAGGTATTACTAAATTAAGATGGACATATTCATATTTATTTGAAATAAGGGACTATATGACAAACTTGACATGACATGACATGACATGACATGAACAGGACAGGACAGTACAGGATACGACAGGACCAGCCATTTCAGGACATGATTAGACGTGACAGGACAGACAGTACATCTCAGGAGGTGACAGGACGTGAGAGGACATGAAATGACATATAATGTTTTACATCATGTTTGCTGATTTATCAACATTGAGGAATGAGGATGGACGCACATAGAGGATGTAATTGCACAGACGTGTAATTACATCCGTATATGTAGAAAGTAGTATATAGGATGTATTACAAATATTTTGAGAATATTTAATTTGTTTTAATTGTATCAGGTTGAAGGGTTGAATGGTCAGCTTCCTAATCTAGACCTAGTTAACCTAGTAAACCGTCTTACACTTAGGGAGGGACTCCATCAAATGTTTCAAGGTATTCATAAAAAGAGGGGATCTTAACAGTTTAGTCATCTAAATCTGATCTCCTACTCATATTTGTCACATCTAATCATCGCGCGGTCTATAATTATATGTGACAAATCTATCTATCTATCATCTATCTATCTATCTATCTATCATCTATCTATCTATCTATCTATCTATCTATCTATCTATCTATCTATCTATCTCTATCTATCTATCTAGGTGTTGAGGATCCTACTAAACCTGACACGTATAACGGGTATATGAGATCACTAAAGACTATGCTGAACATGATGAGTGCTCAGGCTACTGGAGTTCCTACAGGAAACCACGGTCTTTTTCACAGGTAGAATATTTTTATACAAATATATAAATATATTTTGTTCCAAANTGCCATCTTACAAAAAATCTATTTTATAACAGCGAAACTGATTTTTTGGCTTATAATGTATTTATACAAGTTTCGTTGAATGATAATTTGAAGTTGAAAGTTTGTCATTATGTAACAATTAACAAATAAAAAATCTTCCAGCTGAATAGATATTATTTATTGATAAACATCTCACAGTCAACTAATTATTGTTATTAATTATTATATTTTTATATTATATTTACACTAGAATACAAATTACAATTGTCCTCAAAGCCAGGACTAGATCATCTTTAGTCCTCGTGCATCTTGAGTTCTTCCAACATCTTTCTCTCGTCTTCATTCTTCATATTCTCTGTTTCCTCATTATTCTTCTTATCCTTTTCCTAGATAAGCTGTGATTAAAGGGACTGTTCAGGGGAATTTCAAGTGACCCTCCATGCATGGCAAGGCAATTCCCGATTTACATTGATAACCTTGAAACCTTAATCGGACCAATAATGTGGAAGATACTGTCGTTTTGCTGACTCGTTAAGTATTTAACTGTAATAGGTTTTCCATTGCTTCTTATTAGCAAGAAATGCACTTTCACTTTCGCAAAGAACACCCAAATGAAACTTACCATTAAAAAAAAATGGAATCTGTTTCGTATTTGATTAGAAAAACATGGATATCAAATTCATTCTGGATCAGACAAAGCTTTTAAGGGTACTTTTGTAAATCGGGCAGCGCCATGTTTGTCTGGAGGGTCACTTCAAATAAGGTTTACAGTCAAGGGCGTATACAGGAGGGGGGCATGGGGGGCAGTGCCTCCCCCTAGACTTGTAAAGGGGGGGGCGTAGCCCCCCCCTAGAATTCTGCAAGCCTTTCACACTTTTCAAATCTTAACTGAAGAGTGAAGAACACAAAAAAAATAAGTTTGCTTTTCATGATTATTATAAAAAATCAAAATTTTAAAATATATATAATTACAGTGCAGTGCTCATGCTGTAACCAAGTTAACCTAACTAACCATTTTAACCTAATTTTAACTTTTAAGTTCACAGAGTACACAGAGTTTAGTTGGGTTCAGAGAACACACAGTCTGCATACATTTGTACAGCTCACACACTTTACATTATATGCTAGTCTTGTGTAGTAGTGATGTGAGTCTGTTAAAAGTTGCCGTTGTGACTGGTATCTGTGAATTGCTGATTAATAATTATCATGAATCAAATACTGTTAATTATAAGCCTTGAGTTATCATTCATTCTTAGATTGCAGCAATTGTACTCCTACTTTTTTTCACAACAGAAACTTTTACAAGTCATAATTATTTTCTGGACCTTTGTACTTCTTTTCATCTCATAGAATTTAAGTTTAAGTTAAGTTTTTATTTTCAAAAATGTCTTTTACTATCTCTAGTTTAAATACTAAATATACCTATAAAAGTATAATAAAATGTCGATTTTTTAGAAACAATGCTTAGAAGGTAATTATTTGGACTGTATGTGTGCCTTTTAAGTATCTTATACTTATGCCTGATATCCAAGAAGCCAAGTGTTATGAGTTTACAGTTCGAATTTTGCCCCCCCCTAGGAGCTCCTAGGGGGGGGCAAAAAAAATTTTTGCGCTTCGCGCAAATCTTGCCCCCCCCTACATTTATTTCTGTATACGCCCTTGTTTACAGTCCCGTTAAATAGGGTTTAGTTTTTTATTTAACTTTGCACATATTGAACCACTTGGATTTAGAATTTGAAAGTTTTACTTATCATAAAGTAAAAACTGAATAATAGGGGAATGAATGTCAACTGAATAATAGTGAATATTAACTGAATAATAGTGGAATGAATGTCGTCTTTATTACCCTTTAACTCAAGAAATATGGTTAGGAATTTTTAAATTTGTAATTGTTGCATTGCAGCTCTTTAAATGTTTCAAATGTTTAAAAATAGTTCAATTTTAAATTTCAAATTGAAAAATCCAAAGCGACCATTCATAATTAAAGAAACTAAAAGGTGACAAGAATTCCAGTGTTTTCTCGTTCTCTTGCTGTTGTACGATACCTTGTACAGTAGAAACTCTACAGCTGATTTAGAGCTGTGTTCTAGCATTTTATTTATCAGCTTTAATTCTTCATCTTTCTTTGCAATATCCTCAGTTCTTGTCCAACTCAGGTCTTCCTCCAGTCTACAAAAAGAACAATTAAAGCAAAGGAATTGAGTCTTTGGTTCAAACTAAAATTTGTAATAATTTGAAATATCTGAAGTTTTAAGTACGACATTGGGGTGGAAAGATAAAGGGATTAGAAAATTAGACCTAGAGGCAAAGACTCAATTCCTTTTCAAACAGATTTTGTTAAAATAAAAATGAGAAGCTAGATTTTATTGCCTAATGTCGAGAGTGAAATTCGTTTTAGAACAGGATAGGCTTACGGCGAAAAATAAGCGCTTTTGATCGCTACTAATCTTACTTCTATTTGTTGCGTCTATAAGGAGTAAATTGTTAAACACGACTCATGCTGAAGAACGTAGCGTCCATACAAATTCAGAAAGTTGCAACACTCAAATCGGATCGTACAATAATCAATTTAATTCTAAACAATAGTCATCTATTATTTTTCGATCCATTCTTATATAGTTAATATTTCATAATATTCTCGATAATATGAAAATGTCGTCTTCATTATCAAAAATCCTCGAAACAGGAATAATAGAAACAATGAGAAGCTGTCAATTAAAAGCTTCTCTTTGTTTACTTGTTAACTTGTAAATTTTATTAGAAATCAAAACTTAAATAGAAAAGTCGTCTTCATTGTATTAATAGAAACGCCTACCACTGTAGCAAAATAGAAGAACGGATGATTCCATAAAAAATGTATAAATTGTATTTATAAATACCTGTATGAACCAACGAAAACTGGACAGTCATCTCCCCACTCCTAGAGGCATGAAAAGGATTGTTCATGGTTTTTATCTAATTTGGGGTGTTACAGGGGCTGTAAGCGTAATTTAAAGTAACTCAACATGCAAAGAGGGTAATGCCCGATTAACAACGGTACCCTTAAAAAATTTGTTCGTCAAGTACAGAGATATGTGTGTGTTAACTTATCGGAATTCCTAAGTGTGCGCTGTGTTAAGAATGTACATTTAGCGTATATATTTTACATTAATTTGCCTTACATGTATTATTATGACAGAAATGTTGGTTTTTCCCATTTTTTGTTGTTGAAAATTGAAGAAACTACATCTCGCATGAATGAAGTGTTAGGAAGGCCAAGACCGCATTTTTTTGAGAAAGAACAATTATGATAATATTTGTCTTTCGGTAATTTTAATACTTAATAGATCAAATTAAAAATTTGGCGTCAATGATGATTCAAACCTCATAATGTAAATAAAGTAGGTGTAAATTCCACACTTGTTTGAAAATATAATTTCGGTCTGGGCTGACCCTCGTCAGTGCTCGAGATTGTTTCTGTCATGAAGATTCTAAACTAACTGTTGGTCATAGTTTATAAATGAGTGCCACGTAGAATCCTTTTAGGATTGTTTGTAAGAATAGACCAGATTTTTAATCTCATGTGCTAATTGTTCCTCCGCATCTCTGTAAACACTACTTCTAAGAAGAACGTAATTTTCAATCTCAATGTTTAAAATCTCACCTCTGGAGAAATCATACTGATTATCTCCCTTTCTGGGAATCGTCGTTGCTTGTACACATAGTAGGTTCTCCCGGGGATCTTTTTAAAGATGCAGGTAGTCTGGTTCAGTAGGTTATCCAACCTGAAGAACAGGGATGCATATTTTCTTTTAAAAAAATCCCCCCCTTTGATAATATTTTTTTTCTCCTGATGTCGTGAATGTCTGCAAAGAGCTGATTTTTTTTAATGTTTTAATGGCTTTCCATGTCCATTTTTTCATTAACCAGTCATACAATTCGAAATAAAACAAAAGATTTAAATATTTATAACGTAAGATGGTTGACGTACATTACAGAACTTAAGACATCAGACTGTATTCATTCTAAACCAAAACTGGTATTGAAAGGAAAAACGCCAATAATTAATATATTAATATACGACTGATGTTGATACAGTTTTTTTTATTGTAGCATTTTAAGATTTAATGTGATACAATCTCTGTTAGCCATGCCATTTTTGGAAAGCTTTGTTTCTACCCTTTTCGTAAAATGTTTGAACATCCTCTTTAAAATCAAATATTTCTAACCTTGCATCCGCAAGAATCTTTAGAGCTTGGTCCTGCAGAAACTTGACCTAAACCAAAATCCTTCAATTATTTTACAGGGGTGTTTACTGTATGTGTTATTGAAAAATCCTCCCCCCCCCCCCAAAAAAAAAGTTATGCAATACGCATTTGACCTCTACCTAATGATCAAAAATTATTCCCTGTTATTTAAAGGGACTGTGTTTTTCAATCAAATAACTCTTTTCAAATGAAATATTGTTGAAAATTTTCCACCAACACAATTATTGAGATTGCTATTAAAAAATAAATGATTATAATATATTACATAAAAGTCTCAAATACACAAAGTCTAAAATACGGATTGTTAAGCGCCCTGAATATATGCTACCTGTGCTGCAATAAGAATAAGTTTGCTTGCTGCTGCTCCAATATTAAACTGGTCTCCCCCTTGGATCTTTTCTGCCAATTTTACTAAAAACAACACTTTATGGTTAATCTTGAATTAAGATCTCCCTCTTCTGTCGAGAAAGTGTACAATTTAAAAAAATATTTTAGAAATTTCTGGACCGAGCACCGCGTGTAGCTGATGAGCTATGGGGCCCAGCGCTTAAAACGTATTTCTTTTTATTCTTAAAGCTTTTTGCTGGTCATTTTGCTTATTGAATACCAGGGGGTCGTGAGTCATATTTTCAGAATTTTTTTTTAATTTTTGTGATGAGGAAATGATCATTTTCAATTAATTATCTAATATTACCTAAATCCATTTTGTTCCTCCTGCCGTTGTGAAATATTTGTTGGTTTTCCAGCAACTGATCTCTTAAATAAAATTTAAAATTAGTATTCATTGTTAGATCGTAATATCCTAATTCACCGTTCAGGGGTTGAATAGGGGAGGGGGGTCTAGGCCTCCTCACACTCTCAACTAGATATTAACTACGCCACAAAAATATTCTCCGCAACTTTATAATTTCTAAGAATTTATGAAACCCCGACTTCAGACAATTACGATTGGATAGCGTTAGCTTTGATATTTCAAAACATGTATTTATATATACAAAGATGACTTGTATATAGCGGTAGTAAATGTTTTACTGTAAGTGTACCCAATATTTTTATTTATTACCACCATAAAGCAATTGGAAAAAATCAAATATATGTAGGTATTTATATGTTATGACGTTCGATATCATTGTTAATGTTCTACATAATTTTTGTCAAGGTTTGGTATAGAATCCGTAACCCTTGAAGGTGTGTACACCAGGAAGAAAGGAAGAATGAAATCTGATTTTTATACACTTGGCAGGATCCTGGAGGGTACATACAGGTACATGAAGTTTATGCAGTTCAAAGTACATACAGTACTTAGAGTACATACAGTATATACAGTACATACAGTTCATACAGTTCATAAGTACATACAGTACATAAAGTACATACGTTACGTACAGTACGGACAGTGAGTACGTACAGTATATACAGAAACATTCCAGACGGATAGAGTACACAGTTTATACAGTACATACAGTAAATACAGTTTATACAGTACATACAATTTTTATAGTACATACAGCACATACAGTACCGCGGACTTACCAGACTGTGCATATGTTCTACTTGGATAGGCGAAGCAGGCCATAAGTGTCCCGGCACGCATTCCTACAGTTTCATGACTTTTTTTGACTGCCATCTTACGCCCACTTGCTGCATATACTACCCATTTAGGCCTTACGGGTTAAGCTTCGTCTATTTTTGAAATTTTTTAATCCGTATCCAAAAAATCCTTAAATATTTTTGAATACAGATGTCTGCTGATTAGTTGTGTACGTACTAGTACAAAGCAGAACCGGCTGTGGAAAATATCGCATATCATAGGTTTCAATTGATCTTTGCTACTCTCTTATCTCTGTACCGTACATATATTCTGTACATGAAAGTTAATCTAGTATATCCATTACATCCAGCTTATATAGTACATGTAGTATGTGCAGTTCATACAATACATACAGTATAATTCAATTTATTATTAATATTTTAAGGAGCTTAAACAACCTCTTGGAGAGATTCCATCAAAGTTTTTTCTTCTATATTCTCTGCAGTGGTAGTAGGTAGGATTAAAAATAATAGACCATTTACATGAGAAATTGTATTAATAAAAATATAAATCGATTGTTTAATTCCAAATTCAACGAATTCCAATTTTTATGTGTATAAAAATTGAATATAAAAATAAATATATAAATATAAATTTGAATGTGGATGTTAAATACTTTAAGGTACATATCTATTGGATTGTATATGCCCATGTTTGGATTACTGGCTGCTGGGTTTCTATTTACCACCTTGGGTCTCTGGTTTAAACTGCTGGCGGAACAGAACGACAATAAGGTAAGAACCATGCCTGGGGTAGGTTGTCAGTCTTCATCACTGCAAACTAGACATAGGGAGTAGTGGGGGGGGGGGGGGTTTGAATGCAATTCGACACTTTGCGTTTGGTCCTAACTCCTATTAATTGAGATAGAAGACTGAAGCCTCTAATTGTGGTCATGGAATCGGAATACCATAAAACCTATGCTTTGATGGTGAGCAAATGTTGGAGGTAACAACATCCAGGATCATCTGAGGTCAAAAAGGAGTGTCAGAATGGAATTGGAACTCCAAAAAACCTATGATTTGATACCTCACATGACATAGTTTTCATTGATTTAATATTTTGACCTTTTTTGGAGGTCATTATCGAAGGAAAGTCAAAATGGAGGTTGGATATATGTGTGCCTTTGTCGGATTAAATTATAATAATTGAATTAGATTGCAAGTGGTATTTTCCCTTTTTTAAGTTAATGGAGGTCAGTGACCTCCGATCTAAAACGTTCTTCGTGATCCATGTAGATTAACACACTTAGAGGCTGCATGCAAAATTTCAGCCTTCTATCTCAATTATTAGGACCATGCGCAACCTGTACAAAATTTGTTGTCGCAAAATGTCGAATTCCCCCCCTTCTATACGATATCGCTGGTAAGACTTAGTGACCGCGTAGCTCCCCTAGTTTTGATTTTACACACAAGGATTAGAAGATCAAACTCAATTGGGTACATATTTTAAATTCAAAACTTGTTGGTTCTTCTTAATAGCTCTTCAATTAGAGAAGGTATGATGGTAACATATCTGATTTTATCTGGTTAATAGCTCTTCAATTAGAGGAGTTATTATTTAAAATATTTAAGATTTTAATCTTGCTTTTTATTTTAATTATTTTCTATTTTATCTAGTCAACAAAGAAAAAATCTTAAACATTTGTACGAAAGTGACCATACATGAAAAGCTACAATAGTCGTCGTATATGTCAATACAATGAAGACGACTTTTCAAATATATTTTAACCTTTCTACCAATCTTTCCAACACCAGAGATACGTAAACATCCCAACATAGAGAACATGTTAATTTACAGCTTCTCTTATTTAACTTGTAAACTAATTTAAAAAATGCTTATTATGGATGAAAGCATTATTAATATCAATGAAAAGTCGTCTTCGTTTTTATTAATATAATCGCCGTCTGTATTATGATTGTCATGAGAATTAAATTACAACTTTAACTAAATATTTTAATTTCCAAAACTGCCAACATAATGTGGGTGGACCAAATATTGGAAAACTCTCAATTTCTATTTTTATTTCTTTGACCCAATCTTCTAGTGTTTAGTGGTTTGAGAAAGAGAAACTTAATCATGTTTATTTGTTGAGTTGATCATATTTTTTAAGAGTCCTGATAATTCTGAAGTTCCGGTTCCTTGGCTCCTTCCTCCAAACTTCTCCAAGGTTCTCCCAATATTCTTTTGCGCACACGCGCTTGGACTCTTTGCTTATTACCTGCCTAAATTTGGCGCGCTCTTCGGAGCAATGTTTGAGATTGGACCAGAAGAGTCGATTCCGATCAGGTAAAAACACAATTGATGTCTGATAAACAGATATTTTTTTATGATAATTAGATTTTTTTCATGTTAGGTACAACTTTTTGCAAAACAACTTAAATTTTATGCTTTCATTCTTTTTTTTATAAAACAAAAATGAACGTTGTATTAACAAGTATATATTAATGTGTGTATTTAATATTTGTATGTTTGTTACACTTTTGTGCGCCGTCAACAGTCAGATTTCAAATGTGCGTCCTCATAATTTATTTTGCAACATAGAAATTTGTACAATGTTGTCCTTTAATATGAGGAACATGTTTACTATTTTATCTCTATATTATAATACTAAAACTTAATTTATATTTTAAAATTATTTTTGTAGCTTGGGATCATTTTCTGTGCTGGTTCTTCTCCTTCCATTCTTGAGCCGACCTAAACTGTGTTTACCGGAAGGAACACAGGAAGTAACAAAATGTTTGCTCTGCCTGGAGCTAGCTGCACTAGCAGGTGGGTCACACATACTTATGGAGTGTATATTTTCTTGATAAATCATTGCCGTCTCTTTTCTAGGGTTTTATTCGCTGAATTCCGGGAAAAAAGAGGATTTTAGGGGAAACTTTTTTTGTGTATTAAAAGGATGGAAACGTTTGCTTTTTCTATTTCTATTAATTCTTCAGTATTGCTTTTATTGTACTAAACTTATACTTTGTAAGATATAAGGCCAAAACTAAAAATAAAAACGATTGGTCAAATCTTTTTGAAAAATATTTTGATAAACCGCTTTTTTAGGGTTATTATATTTTATAATTGTTAATTTATCGTTACCTAATTTATATTTGACCTGTCATGTCCTCACTATTTTTGGAGCCGGATCCAAAAAAGGAGCATAAGCTCTGATCTTAGCATATTAATATTATCTCTCTAGGTTGTACCTCCCTTGTAAATATATCTCTAGCAACCCTGGTTACTATCCTCTACCTACCTCTTACTCTACTCGCTTCAACTACAAAAGGTAAATTTGAAAAGTGAAATAATTTGTCAATTTTATTAAATTGGTCGCCAATAAGGAAAAAAGGTCAAATTTAGAATCTTCATTATTCAAGGAAGAATACAAAACTTTCTAAGTTAAAAAATTGTCAAATCTTGATTCCCAAAATTCAATTTGGTCGGTAAGTACTTTAAATATTGTATTTTATCAAGATCTATCTGATTATATTGTATTTAATCAAGATTTATCTGATTATATTGAATTTGATAAAGATTTATCTGATTATATTGTGTTTGATCAGGATTCATCTGATTATATTGTATTGGATCAAGATTTACATGTTGATATTGTATTTGATCAGGATTTATCTGATTATATTGTATTTGATCAAGACTTACATGTTGATATTGTATTTGATCAGGATTTATCTGATTATATTGTATTTGATCAAGACTTACATGTTGATATTGTATTTGATCAGGTTTTATCTGATTATATTGTATTTGATCAAGATTTATCTGATTATATTGTATTTGATCAGGATCTATCTGATTATATTGTATTTAATCAAGATTTATCTGATTATATTGAATTTGATCAAGATTTATCTGATTATATTGTGTTTGATCAGGATTCATCTGATTATATTGTATTTGATCAGGATCTATCTGATTATATTGTATTTGATCAAGACTTACATGTTGATATTGTATTTGATCAGGTTTTATCTGATTATATTGTATTTGATCAAGATTTATCTGATTATATTGTATTTGATCAGGATCTATCTGATTATATTGTATTTGATCAGGATTTATCTGATTATATAGTATTTAATCAGGATATATCTGATTATATTGTATTTAATCTGGATATATCTGATTATTTTGTATTTAATCAGGATATATCTGATTATATTGTAATCAGGATTTTTCTGATTATATTGTATTTGATCAGGATTTATCTGATTATATTGCATTTGATCAGGATTTATTTGATTATATTGTATTTGATCAAGATATATCTGATTATATTGTATTTGATCAGGATATATCTGATTAAATTGTATTAAATCAGGATATATCTGATTATATTTTATTANGTATATTGTATTTGATCAGGATTTATCTGGTATATTGTATTTGATCAGGATTTATCTGGTATATTGTATTTGATCAGGATTTATCTGGTATATTGTATTTGATCAGGATTTATCTGGTATATTGTATTTGATCAGGATTTATCTGGTATATTGTATTTGATCAGGATTTATCTGGTATATTGTATTTGATCAGGATTTATCTGGTATATTGTATTTGATCAGGATTTATCTGGTATATTGTATTTTATCAGGATTGAAGAAGCTGGTTCTGTTCCTGATTTGTTTAAGCCAGCATCCCCTGATCCTATCAGGGATTATATCCACGATAGATACTATCAGAACCTTTCCTGATGTAGGGGCGTATAAGCTAGTTATCAGGTGAGAGAAATATATAATTTTTATCTAACGCAGAAAATGGATACCGACTTGTCGACTTATCAAACTTATGGGAGTTTAAAGCTACTAACCAACCATGTATTGAAATTTTGTTTGACAAATTTTTGGTGGAGTAAGTTGTGTTATAGTAATTCCATCTACCTATTATGACCCCTTACTTGTACAAGAATGTCAATTAGAATCCACCCCTAGTAAACTACATTTTGCAATTTATAATTTTTCAACGTGTAAAACGATCACCCTAGTTAAATTGCTTGGACTTCTATATGCCTAGCTGCAGAGAACGGTCACGCTTTCGGCTAGAAAAGTAAATAACCCTGGAGCTCAACGTAACTAGCCTACAGAACATGATACTTTTACTATAGGACAAAACTCAAATTTTCTAATCTATATATAAATTTGGCTTGACTGTCTGTTTGGGTGTTTGGGTGTCTGTTTGTTTGTTTGTATCCAATAAACGTCAAAACGGCTGAACCGATCGGGCCCAAATTTTTTGTGCGACATCACGTGACAGGGAAGGTTTATGAATGATCAAAATTTCAAATATCTGTCTTCATCAAAATTTGATCTTCATTAAATTTTTGAAAATTTTGAAAATCCACGAAATTTTTTGTGAAAATCCGCGAATTATTTTTGTTTTGTTTTACGATGTACACATGTTCACAATTAATTTAGAAGATGGGCGCGAAGCGCCCTATAAGGCTAGTCTATATATAAATTTGGCTTGTCTGTCTTTTTGTTTGTTTGTTTGTTTGTTTGTTTGTTTGTTTGTATCCATTAAACGTCAAAACGGCTGAACCGATCGGGCCCAAATTTTTTGTGGGACATCATGTGACCACAGGGAAGGTTCATGAATGATCAAAATTTCAAATATTTGTCTCCATCAAAATTTGTGGCACCTCGCGTTATCCCAGGGAAGGTTTATGAATGATAAAAATTTAAAACAAATGTATCTTAAAAGTTTTTAATTTTGTAAAAAAATTAAATTCTTGAAAATCCGCTATTTAAACCGCAAAATTTTTTTCTTCTTTGATTTTAAATGTAAAAAAAGAACATGTTTACTATTTAAATAGGAGATGGGCGCGAAGCGCCCTAAAAGCCTAGAAAAAAGGGCGAAGGGCGCAAAGCACCTTGAATTTCTAGTTCCTATATATATTTACAACCTGATGCTTGAACCTTCAAACTTGGACTAATTGATCTATCAGAATTCACAGCTTAGAATATCAAAGGTCTACGACATCGGTTGGGAAGATTAAAGAATCAAGAGTTTATATCAAAAACTCATTTCCTTTGAAGCTTATCCCCATCTGCAAATATATTTTTATTAGACTTAAATTTATTTTCTTATTTCTAGATCCCTGGAGGCATGGCGTCGAAGTATCCTGTACAGTATTGTAGACAGCTGTATTTATGGAAATGTACTCTTTGACCTCGGTGCTGTATTCCTCCTCCCTTGTTGGATAATCATCTATCTATTAATCTGCGGAAGGGCGGAGGAGGAGAAAAAGAAGAAGGAATAAACTCCGCGTGTGATATTTATTGTAGCATTTAATATTTTCAAATTCATTTTAAAGTAATGTTGATTTTCTTTATTTATTATTTTGTACCTGGCTTTTGATGCATCTTGATGCATCAAGAAACTGCATCATTATATCTAAACCTTCTTTAATTACAAACCGTCACAAATCTTAATTATTATAGTGCTGTGATTACCTTCTGTTCTGTTATATTTGTTTCCGGATTAAAAAAACAAAAACAAAAAACAAAAAAAACATTCCTTGATGTATTTTCTTTGTCAATTTATTTAAATGACGAATTAATGACAATGTTCAGGGATTCATAATTTTATTGTCCTGTCAAAAATATTCTGCTTAACATCCATTTAAACTCATTAGGTCGAAAATGTTGCCCATTTTAAAATAGTTTTTTTTATTTTACAAGAAGTTATCACTGTGTTTATCCGATAAATTGCAGATTTATTTGATAAAAAAGAAACCCTGAAAAGCTAATGTTGTTTGTATCTTGTATTTCCTGTTTAAAGGGACTAAACTCGTAATTTTAAGTGACGCTCCATACAAAGATAGCAATGCACGATTTACAACGGTTTCTTAAAAGCTCTTTCTAATCAAGTATGAATTAGATATCCATGTTTTTGTTTCCTCAAACCGTAGTTTCTTTTACGGGTTCTCTGCGAAAGTAACTTGCGCATTTCTTTAAAAAGCAATGGAGAAATTATCAGAATAAATCACTTTTTGAGTCAGTTGAAAAAAACAACGGTATCTTATATATTTTTACCCGATAAAGTTGTCAAGTGTACTGTTGTGAATCGGGCATTGCCTTTTTTTCTCGAGTTAAATAATACCTTAATGAATTGTGTTTCAGGTAGCATGACTAGAGCCGCCAAAACCTTTTTGCCTGAGGAGGCGGAGCTGACCGTTAAGGAGGTAAGGAGGGGATGGGGATGGGCGGTGTTGAGGCGGGGGCGGCAATGTTAAGAAACTGAACAAATCACTCCAGCTTCTCCGTCAGAGGCCTGTCCGTATTGTAAGAGTGGATCCCCTTAATCCATGCTGAATTGTTGTATTAAGGTACCCCTTGGAACCCCCTAATATCCTTGCCGAGTTATTGTATTAAGGTACCCAGATGGGCAAAAGCTAGATTCATTTTACAGAAACTTTTATATTTTTAGACTTTTTAACGGTTTTATGGCAATCTGAGAATGGTCCAACGATTTAAAATTTTACTCTTTAGACGTTTGCTCTTATCAAACATGCAAATTTGTTATCCTAGGTGAAAATATAAGGCAAAAACAAACCAATAACGATCATTTTAAAACGGTCGTTTTTGTTTTATATTTTCTTCTAGAGTAAGAAATTTGCATGTTTGATGAAAGAAAACTTCTACAGAATAAAGTTTTGAAATGTTGGAACCTTCTCATATTGTCGTAAAACCTTTCAAAGTCTAAAAACATTAAAAGTTTCTGTGAAACGAATCTCGCTTTTGACCATCCATACCCGTGAAACCCAAAGGTTTCGTAATCCTTACTGAAGTATTGTATTTAGGTACCCCTTGGAAGCCCTAATTAGGCCCCTTAATCCTTGGTTAATCATTGTATTTAGGTATCCCTTGGAACTCCTTGTTGGTCCCCTGAATCCCTGTTGAATTATTGTATTTAGGTACCCCTTGGAACCCCTTATTTGAAGGCTGGGGCTTTTCATCTTGGAAAATACTGTGAAGTCCAAAACAATGAATTCATGCTTTGCAGGTAATTCTTATAAGAACCATTTTGTAAACATAACATATTTAACAAATTATATTGGGGATATGTTAAGTGGGGTAGGGCGTTCAATCCAAATCAAATTGAATTGTTTTTTTAAATGTAAATAAAAACAAGTTATTTACATGATCTGAGGCCACGATTTAAATAATTCAGGAGAAATAAGCCCCATTGAGACAAAAATAATGATGGGTTCTTGAGATATGTCAGAACTAATTAAATTTCGAATTAAATCAGATAAATTATTTTAAAAAAGCTCACTTTGAAAGTTATAGGTTGACTATGGGATTTAGACTCCAAACCAAACTGTTAAATCGCAGCCTCTGGAGTAGACCCTATGAATAAACGAAAAATTTGACTTGAATTTTAGAAATATTTTCCATAGAATTGAAACTGAAGACCCTCGAGCATGCATTAAAGAAGGAAAGGAAGTGACTTCATGTGCTCTAGATTTCTTCTCTAAAATTAAGGTAAAAAAAATTTATAAACGATGAAAAAAACGAAAAATGAAACTTAAAAAAGAAACTTAAGAGAAGAGAAGGGAGTTAAGCTGACTTTTTTCTTTTTATTGTCACATTGACAGAGGATTAACAACGTAATTTTAAGTGACCCCTAATTTACGGTGTCTTTCGCCCCTTATGTATCATTGAAAATCTGTGTTACTATGTTAACGTTGTTGTTTTTACTGTTTTTTTATATAGAAAATTCATAACTCTTAAAGGGGATGTTAGCGAAAACTATAAACGAATGCATAGAATTGAATTCGACATTTGTAGGTTGTAATATCTGAATGATAATCTGAGTGGAATAATGTAGCTCTGTGAATTTATATTGACGCCACGCTCTTGGAAATAAGACGTTTTATTTTCCCCTTATATACGCAACAGATAAATGTAAAATTAGTAGCAATCGTCATCGAATTCAATTTCATTTTTTGCGAGCACTCCCTGTATTATTTTTGTTATATATAATTGATTTGCTGTATTTATATTGTAGAATAGCTGTGCCGGGGAGTTAACTTCCTACGCCATGTGTCTAGAGAGAGGTTCAGCTGACATGCTTTTTACTAAATGTAGGAAAACACAGGTAATACCAACAAAACAATTGTAAAAAGTACAAACATCGAAGGTTCGATTTTGTTTGAATTTGTCTCAATGTATTTTTTTTGAAAAGCCAAGACAGTGCTTGGATTCTTGGATTAGAAAGCTCGTAAATATTACATTTAATTCGAAATCAGTTCTTAAATCTGTTAAACTTAAGATATTTTAAACGTTTTCCCTGAGAACAAGGATATTGCTTCCTTGGCGGATTTGGCGCATTTTACATTTTAATATTGCGCATTTTAGTCTGCATATGACGCCTGTGTGATGGACAATTTGAAGATTGAACGCCCACACTATGGTTACCATTGTCTACCTAAGATCCACCACACTGACCGACCTAAACCTATTGAGGAGGCCCCAGGATGGATGGCTGATGAAAAGGTAAAAAAATGACAAAAGTTACGTAGGAAAATCAAAGAAATAAAAGAAAGGAAAGAAAGTAAAAAGTATTATGTAGTTTGTTATAGAACAAGTTTTAAATATTAAATAAAGTTCAAAAAGTGAAAAGTAAAATGTAAAAAATAAAAAATAAAAAATAAAATTTTGGAAAAGGAAGACAAAAGAATCGCTTATGAAACAAGACAGGAAAGAAAGAAAAATAAATTATATAATAAAGAAAATGGAATATGGAAGATGAGAAAAGAAAGTAAAAAAGGAAGATAATAATAAATTAAAGAAAAATGCAAGATAAGAAAGGGAAGATAAGAGAAGAAAAGAGTAAAAAAGGCAAAGTAAAAGAAATAGGAAATGAAACCGAAATAAAAGAAGAGAAAGATTAAAAAACAGTTTAAAAGGAAAAGGAATTAGTTTGGAGATGTTGAGAAAGCCACGAGGAATTGAAGATACTTCATATTTAAAAACACCAATTTAACAATAAATAAATGAGGAATATAAAATAGCTATTTAGGATTGAAATTTGACGTCCATTTTGTTTTTAGGCTCAAAAGCTGAAGAGTCTTCCCGCAGATTTCCCCCGGGATTACGCATCCTGGGGAGGAGTTGGATTCCCTCAAAACCACGGCGGAGAAATATAAACTCTGTCGGATATTTACTCCAACCCCAGCGGAGTCCTTGCTTCGGGTCTAATGATTAACAGAAACCCCCGAGTTTATCAGGAATAAATTCTCAATTTTGTCTTGTTCCAGACAATGTCAGAGAATTAAAATGATAAACTTGTTTTTTCTCAAGGTGTAATCTGGAGACCTGAATTTCTCAGAAGATTTCTCTTTTCTCAGATAAATATGCTTTTAAATACACATTTTTTTAGCACCGGGTCTTTAAATTTTACGGTATTTGACAGTTTCAAGTCTCGGACTCTCTTACGTCCGTGATTTAAAGATTTGCTTTTTTAAAAGAAAATGTGTATTTCAGGGTTTCTAAGACAAGATTTGCTATCAGAGAATATTCTCGTTATATTGTAGTTTATTTAGTTACATAGTCATCTAAATCTTATAATTAAAGTTGATTAATTAAATGTTTAAACTATTTAATTAATTAATTTCAGAGAAGTATGTCAAACGAAACAGACACAGTAACTAAATTGGCCACAATTAGGTTAGTTCTATCCAATAAGCCAGGGGTGTATAATAATGTACATTTTCTGATAATCAATCAGAAGTTACGTATCTTTACTTCAGGGTTTTATTGGCTCAATTGGGGAAATAAATGATTTTTAGGAAAAAATAAATTAATTTATCAAGGATGAAAAAACTCTTGAATGTCCAATTTTTCATTCTCTCCCCAGATCTTAAGAAATCATTTACATCCCCCCCCCCCTCCTTACCTCCTTAAGGGGTGGGTTTTATTCTTTAAAAAATCTATCTATGTAAGAAGCAGTGTTGATCGGCAAACAAACCCTGTCAATGGGATATTTAAAAAAATTTTGTTTATTAAATGAATTTCATTACCTCATTATACCATTATTAAAACCAAGTTAAAACTTAAACTTTTCTACCTATGCACTTTTCGCTGCTTTATTTTTGCTGAGAACTTGGTACATGAGGAAATATTCTAGTATATGAAAAATTCAAGGCAACAACTCATATTATCAAATATTCAGCGAGTCGGTTTTACAATTTATTATTATTATTTACACAAACACGAATAGAAATAAGAAAATACTATACGAATCAATAAGCATGAATAAAGATTATCCAGAGTTAGGGAGATCTCCAGGGGAACCTATTATTCAGGGAGCTGGTCTTCAACTGTCATTTTTCCCCAAATTTCACTCCACCCAGCCTAGAGCTTAACCCTAGTTCCCCGGGAGCTGGCCGGCCATCCCACCAGCGCCCGGGCCTCTGGAATAACGGAACAATTGGCGTGGCTTGGGTTATCGGCGTGGCTTGGGTTATTTATAGGATTAACATACAAACACAAATAAATCCGTTAGGTCTGTACAAGGGATAGAAAAAGAACGGGGGGGGGGGGCAAAACCCCCTTTTTGATCGCAGGAAAGATCAACCCATCACTTTCCTGCTACAATATTTCTGTCTTTTTTATTTTTAAAATTTTTAACTTTCATTCTAGCAGCCATTCAGTCTCCCATTTTTTTAAAAAACGAACTCAACACAGCGCACACTTGAATTTGCAGTTGAAGCCTGAATACAAGCAGTTTTCGATAGGTTAACACGCATATCTTTGTGCTCTACGTATACACAAAGGCTTTAAGGGTACCGTTGTAAATCCTTTAGATTAGTTCAATGGTTACATCTTTTCAGGGGCGTAGTCGGGAATTTGTCCAGGGAGGGGGGGGCGTCATTTTTTTTCTTTTTAGTGGGGGCAGGGGGCTCAGCACCATTTGGGGACCAAAATACCCACCGGAAACCATAGAAAAATCTAGGGGGGAGGGCTGAGATCCCATAGCATCCCCCGAATACGCTTGTGCGTCTTTTATTTCAATTTTTTTTTTTGAAAATTATCACTTTTTCTACATTAGGGTCGTGAAATCTAAGAGTATAGTTTTGAAGAAAGCCAGAGTTCAGATTGAAAATGAACTTACAAGTTTAGAAGAAGAATCCGCTCTCATCAGAAATCTCAAGGTTAATATAAATCTGTACTTTCACTAACTTAGTAAATATTTTGTTAAAAATCCTCCCCTCCCCCCTTTCCTCAGATATGTTATCATATATTTATTCCCTAATCCACTATGCTTCAAATGTAAAAGGTTTTTATTGTTAAAACTGGGAAAATAGATATCTAGAAGAAATTATGTGCTAATACTTTTTTCAAAAATATAAAAAGTAAATAAATTTAGTATTTTAAAAAATAAGTATTTTAATAAATTTAGTATACTAGAAATTCAAGGCGCTTCGCGCCCTTCTTTCTAGCCTTAGAATTAGTTGTGAACATGTTCTCTTTGTGTACATCTTAAAACAAAACAAAAATAATTCGCGGATTTTCACAAAAAATTTCGCGGATTTTCAAAATTTTTAAAAATTTAATGACGATCGAATTTTGATGGAGACAAATATTTGAAATTTTGATTTTTCATAAACCTTCCCTGGGGTCCCTAGATGTCCCACAAAAAATTTGGGCCCGATCGGTTCAGCCGTTTTGACGTTTATTGGATACAAACAAACAAACAAACGAACAAACAGACAAACAGACAGACAGACAAGCCAAATTTATATATAGATTAATTAATTTAGTGTATTAAGTATATACTTTGGAAGCCCACAATTAACAGTTATTCTTCTCTAGAAAGAAAAAGGGGAGTTACTGGCTGAGAGAGAAAGAAAACTGGAAGAACTCCGACAAATAGAAGCGGATATTAATACAGTAGGTAGGTCTCATGGAAAAACTTATCTATGTTGAACAAGAGAATTCAGAGACTACTTTTGAGATTTTGTTCATTTTTGCTATTGTTCTTTACTATTGTAAACTTCTTTTGCGGTCTTTACTTCCAGCAGTGCGTAGATTAGAATCAATTTCATTCTTACGCAAATTTCTTATATTTTTAATTTGTCCTGCAGACGGATAAATGATCATAAATAAAAATTCGACAATTTGTGGCAGATTTTGTTTGTCTGAATATTGTTAAAGTAGGATTTCTTGTGGATTTCATGCCAACACAATGTTCACACAGATTAATCCTAGACAGAGGCATATTTA